TTTAGGCCATTATTTTAGGTAGATTAGCTCATCTCCCCAAAATATGCAGGTGATTACAGACAAACATCCTTAGCCTCTGCTAAGACTGTCCTTGCAGCAGTGACATTCTGATTTCTAAAAGTTCAGTAGGAGTAATAGTCCAAAGAGTTCAGCTTGGCAGGATGAAAAATCTTGGGACTTTTGGGCTACAATGTTCTTTAGAAAGGATTCTCTGTCTTGTTCATTAACGTGACATTTCAGAGCTGCCAACAGGCAAAAGCAACAGGGAGGAGACAGGAAAGAAAGGAGAAGATCCTGAAAGCCAGATTAACTTTGACCGGCTCACTGTTTCTGAAAATCTGCTAGGAAAGGAGCCTGGTATTCCCATTCGTTCGGCCCTTCCTCCAGCTCTCAATCCAGGTGGCAGCATGCTGGGAGCCTTCTGCTCCTGGCTTAGCACAGCACTCGGTCTCCCTCCGAGGAGAGGGCGGAAAATAGTCCCACCTACCTCAAAGGCGACAGCACTGGATGATGTGAGAAGGGGACCAGACAGGGCTCGTGCACGTGTCCAGTACACTGGCAATGACGAGATTGTTTAAATCATTGAAGTTAGCCTGCCTAAATCACATTGCAGGCAAGAACTATAACCCATGGAGATGACCAGGTAGGTATTCATCTATATCTACCCCTGCTCAAACCAAGTGTCATCTCCACAAATTACTGTCTGGATGACCCACGGTAGGTTTTTTAGGTTATTTTTTGATGTGCTGTTACAAGTGATGTCTGTTTTCTAAGAATGTATGTATGTAGCTTCACTGATTTTAGCGGGAGTACATCAAGCATATGTATTGGATTCTTCACATTAAATATCTGCAGGACATCCTTGTTGAGTCCCCTTGAAACAGCTGATTTTGTTTTAACCTTTTAATCCATTTTCTTCTAACAATATTGAACTATTTCTGTTGTGCTAAATTTTTCACTTGGCTTTTAGAAAAAGTGTGTCTAATGCTGAAAGACATCTACCACTGCACTGCTAAAAGATATGATACACAATGTTTTTGAAGGATAGACAATTAATTACACCTCAGGTAGACAACATATACTACAGCAGTTTGATGAACAGGACTTTCTACCAATACAAGACAATCCATATGGTTTCGTTTCTGTTTGAATATCTGCAACTAGTCAGTAAGTCTACTCACTCCCATCCCAAGCTAAACGCTCTCATATTAAATGACTGTACCTTTCATGCATATAGTTGACTCCAAGTAACAATTGTATAAACCAGTCTATTATTTGTCTTTGAGTGAATATCTTCCCAGATTCTTTGTACTCTTGAATTTTTAAGTCTAGATCTCCACCCTGAAAAATATCACAACATATTTGTACATTTAAAGTAAGCTTTTAAAATGTCTTCTCCTTCATCAAAGTACAGGACTCCATTTTCTTAGACCTTCAGACTGTCTTCACGTAGTCTGTAAACGCTTGCATGTGAATTCTGAACTCTCCCAGCACCAAAAAGCATACACAACTGAGGATCAAACTGAGATCAAGCAGTCTGGCTGCAGAGGGAAAGTAGGTCAGTTTTCTCTTAGCGTTACACAAAATCATTGAAGTTTTCAACTTTTCTCACTTCATGTCACCCAACTTTAGACATGTGCATCTGAGCTGGTCACCTCAAACTCCCTTTATAGTTAATACAAAGGAACAGGCATCTGTATAGTGCAATTGTCTCTGCCATCTAGCTGTCTACCTTAGGAAGGGATGGATCATGTTGTAGAAATGCTGTTTCTCTGCAAAGGTTTATGATGAGGGCCTACACTGACTGGCTAATATGCAGACACCTAAATCAATTAAAATAAATCAGCCCCGGTCAGTCCAAAGAAGTTTATAAATTTGGGAAAAGCATTTCTACTTAAGTTAAACATTGCACACTCAAGAAACACTCTCATTTATTATGCTGAAATAACCATGTCAGCATCAAAGAAACCACGCTGGTCTCTTAAGAATTAAGATACAGTCTCTTTAATTATGATACTTTGTCCCTCTTCCAAACTCACTTTTGTCAGAAACAAAGCAGAATTAAAGCTTCAAGGAAATGTAGCATGTGTTATTGTAAATACTTCATTAAAACTACAATTGATCTTGAACTAACACTAGAAAGGGAGCAATATGACACACAGTAGACAGTGAAAATAAACCAGAAAATATATACAGAAAAAGACTACTTGAAAACTGTAAGTCAGACATTTGGAAAAGTCAGTTGAACAGCATGATGAAAGAGGTTTTGGAGGAGACTTATATGAAAACTGTTCATTTTGCAAAAAAATAGACAGATGGTTGTCAGCTGGTTGTTTATCCAGTTTATAAAATAAATTGATTTTGTTTACAAGAATGCACATCAGTGGCAAGCACTGCGTTGAGGTAACTAATCCCAGAGCAAAAGGACTATGAGTCTCATGTCTCCTTGTACTCTAGTGCCTAATTACCTTACATCAGGACAGCTTATTCTCCCTAAATCATTACTTTTACATTATACATTCTGCATAAAATCAGAGATTTTGTGTCATATACAAGAAAATAGTTTAACCTGTACAATTGTACCTGTACCACCATCACCCATCATTGACCCTTCCCTTCTCTGCATTGTTGACTCCCAACATTTTCTCTCTTCAGCATTTCTTGGTTTTCTGTTCCCAACACCACAGTGCTTCATACTGCTGCTACAAAATAAGCAGGTTCTGTCCTTGCAAATCCATACATTCCTGTCCTGTACTTTGACATGAATTTACAGTAATTTCTGTGGTCCCTGAGGTTCTAAGTTACAATATTCAAGAGTGTGTTAAAAAAAAAAGAAAATATGTTTTGTCATATATCAAAAATGTGTTCCCTGACCATGTCCTGCAATTTTTTTAATTGAAACGTCTGAGTCATCTCATTCACTGGGGAAAGGAATACGGCTTCAGCTCTCCATCTGCCTCCCTGCTGCAGCCCAGAGAGAAGCTCTTCTGGGAACTTGGAGCTCTCAGCAGCTGCTTCCCCTTTGCAACTCCAAATGTTCAACAGCTTCCCCCTGGTTGCTTGCAGCAAAGCAGAGGAAGGAAAGAAAGTGTTGCTGGGTACCCTGCTGCATGGCAACCAGATGGGCTGTGTCTGAGCCTACTCACCCACCTCGAAAATAATGACTCACCTATTCCAGACAGCTGCCCCAGACCGTCCAGAGCCAACTGTAGCCATAGCCCAAGACCCAGGGGCTGCTCAAACGTGTCAGCTGGCTACTGGCCACAAGGGACTGTGTACTATCCAGGTGAGGATAGATGAAGTGCAGGAGGCTCCAATCACCGTTTCTCCCTGTGCCAATGCGTCCCCACTCACAATCACACCTTGACACGAAAAATGCAAAGAAAGAAAGTGTAGAACCTACAAAGTTAGGCTAGTAAACACTCTCTTAAGTCGGTGGGCATTTCCTTCAAAAGGTCTAAGGAGAACAAAAGCAGCTGGATAAAGCACTACATGTGCCCTCAAGTAACTATGGCTTTTTTACCTTGAAGCAGAGTAGATTGATCTCAATGTCCTACAATTAATTTAACTTTGATTTTGTGTCTAAAAAAGGAAAACAAAAACACATCCTAAAAGATTTGCTGAAATACTGCTGCCATGAAACTCTGTAGAAGCTTGTTAGCCCAATTTTGCATTTTGGAAGGTCAGTATAATGAAGCTCATAAGGATTTTAACAAATTAAGTACATAGGGAGTTTTCAAGCTGCATTTTTTATTTATATGTCAAGAGTATCAAATACATCAGTAACTTTTTAAAAATAGCTTAGCGTCTAGAGCTAATAATGTGAACAGGCACCGATAACTTTAGCTATTATTTCTTTTGCTCAGATTTCCTTAGCGTATGTATACTCACATCACAGCTGAGACCACAGTGAAGAAACAGAAATAACTGTTTGGGGGAAAGTACGACTACTTCTAGTTTATGATGTATTAAAATGATGCAACTTTTAAAGTAACTACTTCGTAAAAACTGTATTTTATTGAGGTCCAATTTATGTTACAAAATGAAATCCAAGGTTCATGAGGGCATTTTTGTTTGAAATCTGACTTATTTGACAATGTTTATATTGCCTGTAAGACTCTGATTCAAGAAAACTGCCAAAGCAGCTCAACAAGATCAAAACAGAATGCATATACTTCTTTTGTACAATTTTGAGTTAATTCAGTTATAATAAAAGACATCGAGCTGAGCAATGGAGACCAATGTTCTCTTTTGTTCACAGGACAGGTATAGCACAGGGCAGCTGCATTGCAGGCTCACTCTGTGCTACTCATGTAAGAATGAACAAAGTAGTGTGGCTAATGAATAAGTCACAGTACTTTGGAGAAAACGGAATAAGGCTCAGAGGGTAGTTCTGTTTCCATGCCAACTTAATGTTTATTCTTTGTTTTGAGTCTGCCCAGGAGTACCAATTACTGCCAATATGGTAATTATTCTATGCATGAGAAACTGAATACACTAGACTTCGAAACAAGGATCAGGTAGCAATACATTTTTCTCATTCTCAATTTATGCGCGATTTAAACAGGCATCTTTTAGGTAAAAAGATCCGAATCCCACCAGGTACAAAGGCAGGTCATAGATGTGAATATGAAAGTGTACCTTCTGGAAATACTCCCACTAAAATAAAAAAGAAATTTTATAGCACTATGTGAAACCTTAATTTGTACTTTCCTTGTCTGAACACTTCTTAAATACATTGTAATTGCTTAAATGCAATGATACTACATAGTGTGTCCTTCTGGAAAAAGTCAGAGGCACATCCTAGTGGACCAGCCGTCATTCTTGCCTGACCTAGCAGACTCAGAACTGAAAAGATTCAGCTGCCTAGCCAATGCATCCATTTCCTCCTCCTTCATTTGCCTTGCATTCTCATGTTTAAGTATATGACTCCCCGATCCTAGGGTAACTCCACACTGAAACATTTTCATGCAGGGTAGTTTACATTGCCTGAATAAAAAAAATTCCAAGGGGTGCTGCTGCAGCTTGTGATTACTCTGGTGATTGCTGCCATGCTCTTTTTCATTCACCTATAACTTTATTCCAGATTAAAAAAAGAGAGAGAAAAAAGCAGTGGACCAAAGCCACTAGTCCAGCTCTATCATGCTGCTGAAGGAGGCTCCTTTACTCCTATAGGTTTAACTGATCTGGTGTTGGGCCACTTTCTTCCACTGGTAGAGAGAAAATGAATCTTAGTGTACGGGAATATCTGCGCAGTTAGAATAATCCTTCAGTTCTGAGCTCTGGATTTCCACAGAGAGTTGGTAATACCAAATTTCCATCAAGCCCCAGCTGTCAGATGTTCAGGGAACGACGCAAAGAGCTTCTGCATAACAGAACTGAACATTTCAGATTTAATTTTAAAAAAATCCCAGAAATAAATAGGCATTTAACTGTCATCAAAGAAAGCTTCTAAGGAAGCAATGGCTGGCAGGAATAGTACTTCTTCAATTGTTTACACCAAAGCCAAATGCTTGAAGAAATGGGATTAGTTATTACAAGTCTGATTTGTGGACAGGTAACCCAGTAGTCCAAGGTTATTACCTTTCAAAGCATTTTAAATGTCTAGCAGAGCACAACCGAAGAGTCTGCTTCACAGTTTCATAAAAAGATCACTGTATGTACGAGATTGTTTTTTTAACAGAGCACATCTATATTTAATAGAAAGTAGGCACTTGTTTTATATAAACTCCTAAAAAGCTGGTTAAATATGTTTAAATTCTTATTTTAAAGGCTTAAGACAGATTTCAGCAATATGTTTTTAAACCAAATGCTGGAGTCAAAAAAACTGGTAACTATACTGTAGTATATCCTGCTTTAATATTTATTGTATCTGCTACCCTCTGGTCTTTGACTCACACTGTTCTTCATAAAGCTAATGCTACTACCAAACTTGTCATAACATTATACATATAGTATGGAATATCCCTTTGGCCAGTCTGGGTCAGCTGTCCTGGCTGTGCTCTCCCAGCTTCTTGTGCACCTGGCAGGGTGTGGAAAGCTGAAAAGTCCTTGACTTAGTGTAAGCACAACAACTGCCCCCCAAGAACTGAAAACATCACTGTGTTATCAGTATTATTCTCATACTAAATCCAAAAAACAGCACTATACCAGCTACTAGAAAGTAAATTAACTCCATCTCGGCCGAAACCAGGACACTCATTTATATCAGATTTCATACCATGCCACCATACTCCCAATCTCTTACCTATCAGTAGTACAAATGTGGTACAACCTTTCAGAGTTCACCCACAGATCTGGTAATGTGTCTGTGTTTAAGTCTTGTAATACTGATGATAGTGAATGAAATGAACTTGTGTTTAAAATTACCTATTTCCTCTTCCCTGGTTTCTTTGTCTATCAACTACGAGTCTCAGTGAGCAGGTAACTTTGCATATTTGAACAAGTAGCAGGTGATACCAAAAATAACAGAGCAAAATCCAAGCTAAAACATTAAAAAAAACTGGGCTAGGCTTCTTTTTAGACCCTATTTTAATGCACACATTCTGTCAAATTTCTTCAAAGTAATCTACAAGTCTCACCTCACAGTATTCAGTGATAATGCAGAAACTATCTCCTTCCACGAAGCTTGCATAAAATTTAACAATGGCTGGATGGTCTAATTTGGAGAGTAGTTGTGCTTCCAGATTTGCTTCAACTGTTTCATTAGGCTTTAGGTCTCCAACAGAGATTTCCTTTAGAACCTTTCTAGAGGAAAAAAAGAAATCTTTATATTAATAAAAACAGAAAAATATAAAATGTAAAATCATGCAATGCTCAAAACTCATCATGATTTCTTAAAATGCCAAATAACAACATTAACCAACTATTTGGAAACATGAAATGATGAGGCAAATATGGGTAAACAAAGAGAATGCATTAAAATGCAAAGAAATATGCCAGTCACCATAGCAATAAAACAACATTTAAAAAATACTATTTTGAAGTATTTTTCCCACTAATTCCCTGTTTTCTTTATGACACTGTTTTCTTTATGACATCTTTTCAGTGCTGTGGACTAGTACATAATAATAAACATAAATAAAAAAATCAAATCTAAGTGATTTCAAACCCACTCAGAGCATATGCTGAAGATTCATACACGAAATAAGGAGTAGCAAGTTTGGTTTTGCTCCTTCTGCCAAAGTCTCTTCATTGGGGCATGCAAAAAACCACACAGAAGGTAGTATTTTCGTTACTTTTTCTGGTGATGAACTCAGGATGCCGATTTTTTTCCTAAAGATCAGCCTGCCCTTCACCTGAACACCTAAGTGAAAAGTGCAAATCTGGATTTGTGGCTGAAACCTAATTCGACTCTTTCAATGAACCTAAAATTTTCAGTGTTTAATGTTTGTTTTGGGAGACCCTAAATCCCCTGAAAAAGGCTGAAAATATAAAGGGATTTTCCATATTCCTCAACTTCAACATGTGAACGTGCCATATGAGAATTTGTAGTTCAGACTTAGCTCTGTACAGAACTTGGGGAGTTTACTGTCAACTTGTCCTGGAAAAAAACCCTTGGTACAGGGCACTACAAGGAAGAATATTTTACTGAGATCTTCCCAATGAAATGTTTAAAGAAGGCATACATCACACAAAGGCATGCCATTTCCATCTACTTGACCAGCCACTGAAGAATGGATCGCTGGTCTATGTCTGAAGGAGCCGTTTGAGACTATTAGAGAATATCATGGTATTTTACTGAAACTAAGTGATGAATTTCCAATAACTTTTGAATACATTGAAGGTAAGTTCCACACTGAAGGGATGTTGTCACTGTGCTTTTAGTAATTTCCCCATTCAATACTGTATGGTTGTAAAGTCACAGTAGTTAAACATGACAGCAATAAAACTACAGTAATTCACTTGATCTAAGGAAAAAAAGCTGTATTTCTTCATAAGAAAATTTCTTCCTAAATCTCAGCCATCAGTTTCTGACTAACCATGCATGAATTTTTACATAAACCTGCCTAATCCCCATCTGGCAGCGTGATAAAAAAACATGCCATTTGATTTGTCTGCATCTCTACAGACAAGCTTCATAGTACACAGACAGGTAATACCTACTGCAATCTTCTCATCTTCAGCGGACATGGGGACATTACTCCTTCCTTCTTATAGATAGTGTCAAAGAACTGACAAACAGAGTGAGTCCTTGTTAAACATCATTTAATACAAGTTTCTTGTATACCCAAGACAGCAATAAAAACCTGATGTGTTGATGTGGAGGGATAGCTTGTCATCTTAGTCACTCAGTGATTTTGATGCTGTCATCAGCTGTCAGACAACAAGACAGGTGTTTTTCTTAAATTAATTCCCAGAAGAAGAAATCAGGAAAATGTACTTTTTGTAAATAAGATATTGGTTTTCTGCCACACAATGCTAATTCATATCTAGAGTTGGAAGTAATTTGCATCTAGAAAGAAAACTTTCGTCATGCAATTGAGATTAAGCATATCTGCATGCCACCGGTATATGTGTGAACTGTTTCTGTATGTAGATAAGGTTTTATTTTACAGCATTTAATATGAAGAATATAAATAGACTTTATACTTTCTGCAATGTTTTTGATATCTACTTTAGTAAATACACTTAAAATACACACTTAAACTCTATTTTGATTAAGTATTGACAAAGAAGTTATGTCAGTCTAAGAAGTCTCACAGAGAAAATGGACAAGTCTCCAGATTAAAGTGGCTCTGTTCTGCTAACTTTAGAAGAAAAACAATGAAGCTAAGTCTTCAGTCAGAATTTCATCTATGTAAATTAACTATACTTTTCACTACATAACGCACTTAAGTAGTGCTTAAATTCACTCTACCTAATTTCAGTTTTTACACAAGTATTTTCTACCTTCACAGGCAGCTAAAATGGGTACTTTCTGTGATTTACAGGACTCCTAAGATAATTCAAATTTGGCATCCCTAGTTTCTTTTCATATGATCCAATCTGAATTTTAAGGTTGGCTTACAATAAAGAGTAAGTTATCACTGCTCGTAATTCAGCTATAGTACTTGTGTATCATCTGCTGAAAATCTGCATGCATTGAACAGTTTAGAAACATGTAGTTAGGTTACACCAAGTATTATAAACAAAACTTTCGAGGCATGTGATACGAATGTATATTATGGATATTGGAAATAATAGATTCTCCTGTTAAGATTTTGTCAAAGCTCCATCTACAGTATGGAGGAAGTTTTTCATAAAAATCTGCCCCTATATTTTCTGTCACTTTGGCCCAAATATTAAACAGGATTTAAGGGGTCCAAAACTATTTGCATGAACTAAGAAATCATAGACTTAGCTGACACATACAGAAAAACAGGTAAAAACAGTAAAATGTTGATACCCTCTAAATGTAAAAACTACCCCTTTTGATATAATGCTAAAATGGATGTTCTAATTTAAATTTATTTATTATAAATTGCACTTAATTTGGAATATAGACACATAAGGAGATAACTTTGTTATACAAGGAAGGGGTAGCAGATATCTTGAATGTAAATATAAAACAATAGTCTCTGGATTTTAACTGTGTGGAAAAAAACCCCTTAGCCTTGCAATTTAATAGTGTAAAGACAATTCAAACTTTATCTTGAACTGACCACAACAGAAAGTCTTGTAGTGAATGCATTCACATCTTAAGAGTAAAAAGCACATGCTGTCACTATTTACATCCAGCCTGGAGAAGCTGGGGCTGGTACCGATAACAGCAGCCATCCCCCCCGGGGTGGGAAAATAACACGAGAGAGAAACCCACTCCCCACAGTACAGAAAGCAGCTGCGTTGCCTCCCCAGTGCCGGTGCCTCGGCACAATCACAGACCTTCCCCGGGAACACCTTCTGGCTTTCAGCAACAAAACTTTGCTGGCTTGAATCATCACGCTTTGAAACCCAGGCAGACCACATCTGAAAGTGCAATAACATGGAGCAAATAGGGATAAATAGACCAAGACTTAAAACAAGAGAAAAAGAAGCACAAAGGTAGAATCCTCCAGGATGCAGACACAAAGTGGGAATCCTTTTTTGAGCTTTACTAGGGACTGACAATATGCCACAGCAGTGTTTATCTCAGTCTATTTGCACTGATCTAAAATTAAATGTTTTACAACCCATCTGGTATTTGTTTACATTGATGACATACTTTATTATTCTATAACTTGGTTTATTGGATCGGATGCAATTCTTAAAAGAAGACAGCCTTTCTCAAAATGCACTCTGTTTATTGAGTAAACTGCAACATGAATTATTGACTAGTTTCATGGTTTTGCCAGCACAACTAGGTACATTTGCTTGCTGATAATGAAGTAAAAGAAATACAACTCCTTTAATGTCGAGAATAAATAGGTCTAATGAAATACCACAGAGAAGGTGTGCTCTAGGAATATATGTCCAAATTGGAAGGTTTTAATTAAATAGAAACTTCATTTTACACAGGCAATTGTTCAGTTAATTGTGGCCTGAAGTTAGCAAGACCTGCTGGCAGGTAATCAGTGTGCAAAGCTGGGAATTTATCATTCCATACAGTTTATATTTCCAAGTCACCCTTACTTCAATATGGAGAGTTGTGGTGTAACCCATAACTGTGTATTGTATTTCTACTCACTCTGACCTTTTAGGGCTACCTGTTCACCTTGGTAACTCCTCAGTACAAGTACCACCTGCAACTCCGTAAAAATGTATCACCTCGTACTGGCTCTGTAATTGGATCTAAAATTGGTCATAAACAATAAAACTAAAGGATTGCCTGTCTAATAAATGATGTCTTAAATTCTATTTATCAAATGGCAAACCGATAAAGTATGGTACTACAAATGGGGACCAAAACGAAGAACAGGCAGCTACCCTCCCTCACATACATGTCCTGCCTGCACAACAGCTTCCACCGTATTAAAACTGTCTGGGAAATTCAGTCACAAGGACACCATCTGCATACAGACAAGATAAAGTCACCCATCATTACTACTTCTCACAGTCAGTAACTTTCTAGGGTATTGCACAGTTGATGAGATTTGCACACGACAGCCAACAGTGTAGTTCTAAAATCATAATTTTAGATTTCTGTTGATAACTTCCACACTGAAAATATTGTATTATTGGAATCTAATTTTTGATATATAGTCCTGCCTGTCCCCAACTTAACTGCCCTTTTTGTGCAGTTTACATCTGGATATTACAGATTCCCTTTGATTTGACATTCCACTGTGCACATGAGGTACTCCTCATGTAAAGTTACTTGCCCGCTGTCAGGCATTACAGTTTCCTCACGTTTCCTTTCAGACCTCTCACGTTTGCACTTTTGCACATCCAGCTTTTATTTGCAATTAAGATACTTTACTGATTTTATATGGCACCCTGTTGCCTGGAATCTACTGCCTCACTTAGGTTGGTCTTCTAGTTCCACTGTAATTTTCATCTTATCCGTACCCATCATACATACAGCTATCCTTTTATTAATAATCTTACCAGATTTCTCTGCCTAGTGTCAGTGACTGGCTTTCCTGCAGTTTACAGCTTAATATAAAAAATTCAAATAATCATTCTTTCCATTTTATTTTATCAATTATATTTTGAGCACCAGTATCTGCATACTCAGATAATTTAAAGACATTCATTCACCTGTGAGGGAAAGAAGGAGCCGGTGAAACCATAAGATGCAAAAAGTCAGTATACACAAATCAGTCTTACCTAGAACAAATACTTGGTTT